AAAGTAGGTGTTTTGTACCCTACATGTTAGGGCGCTCTCCTAATTATAAACACAGGTGTACTGATAAAAGTTCATTAGGGAAACCTATGCAGAGATACCCCCTAACCATTTTAAATGCATATTCATTACAAAATATAACTCCTCTGGTGAGATATTGCGCATGCGCTAACACACTAACGTAGCCAGATTGTGTACTGACTGGCATATGCAGCTGGCAACTTACATGCAAGGTCTTCTTCGTATTTCTTAAGAGCGGTCTACTGATAGAATGTTATTATTTATATTTATGCTAGAATACCTCCTCTTCATTTTAAATGCATAATCTTTGCAAAATACGATTTCTCTCGGGAGATATTACGCATGCGCGCGCACCGTGTTAGGCGTGCAGTGCCGTCTAAGGCAAACTTCATAATATAGCTTGCTGAGGGGGAGATGGGATGGGAGACTGAGGAAATGCTGCAGGAAAGATAGCTGGGGGCAGTAGAAGAAGAAGGAGGCTGAGCGAAGGACAGGGGAGGCAAGGGGAAGGACGCGAGGGCATAATTAAAGTGGGTGTTTTTTACACTACATGCTAGAGCGCTCTCCTAATTATAAACACAGGTCTAATGATAAAAGTTTATTAGGGAAATCTGTGCGGAGATACCCCCTAACCATTTTAAATGCATATTCATCACAAAATATAACTCCTCTGGTGAGATATTGCGCATGCGCTGACACACTAACTTAGCCAGATTGTGTACTGGCTGGTATACGCAGCCGGGACCTTACATGCAAGGTCTTTCTCCTATTTCTTATATGATGTCTACAGAAGAAATGTTATCATATAAATCTATGCTAGGATAGCTTCTCTTTATTTAAAATGCATAATCTTTGCAAAATACGATTTCTCTCAGGAGATATTGCGCATGCGCGCGCACCGTGTTAAGCGTGCAGTGCCGTCTGAGGCAAACTTTATAATATAGCTTGCTGAGGGGGAGAGGGGATGGGAGACCGCGGAAAGGCTGCAGGAAAGATAGCTGGAGGCGGTAGAAGAAGAAGGAGGCTGAGCGAGTGACAGCGGAGGCAAAGGGAAGGACGCGAGGGCATAAAGTAAATGTTTTGTACTCTACATGCTAGGGCGCTCTCCTAATTATAAACACAGGTGTACTGATAAAAGTTCATTAGGGAAACCTATGCGGAGATACCCCCTAACCATTTTAAATGCATATTCATTACAAAATATAACTCCTCTGGTGAGATATTGCGCATGCGCTAACAAACTAACGTAGCCAGATTGTGTACTGACTGGCATATGCAGCTAGCAACTTACATGCAAGGTCTTCTTCGTATTTCTTAAGAGCGGTCTACTGATAGAATGTTATTATTTATATTTATGCTAGAATACCTCCTCTCCCTTTTAAATGCATAATCTTTGCAAAATACCATTTCTCTCGAAGATATTGCGCATGCGCGCGCACCCTGTTAGGTCGTGGCAGTGCCGCTGCTGCCGGCAAACTTCATAATATAGCTTGCTGAGGGAAGAGAGGGGCTTGGAGACTGAGGAAAGGCTGCAGGGGAAGATACTGGGGGCGGTTAGAACGAATGAAGAGAGCTGAGCGCGAGGCAGGAGGCGCAAAGGAGAAAGGACGTGCAGGGCAATAAGTAGTAGGGGCTTTTGTACCCTACATGTTGGCGCGTCTCCTAATTATTTAAAACACAGTCTTACTTGATAAAGTTAATTAGGGCAACGTGCTAATGGGAGACGAACCCCTAAACTCATTTTTAAATTTATATTCATCCCAAACATACTATACTCCTCTGGTGATGATATTGGCGCATCGCGCTAACACACGTAAACCTATCCAGATTGTGTACTGGCTGGTATACGCAGCGAGGACGTTACATGGCAAGGTCGTTCTTCCTATTCTTAATAATTCTGCTGATGGAATGTTATGCATATATCATGGCTAGGATAACTCCTCTTCATTTTTAAATGCATACACATCTTGCAAAATACCATTCTCTGGGTTATCATCATAAATATCTATGCTAGGATACTCCTCTTTATTTTAAATGCATAATCTTTGCAAATACGTATTTTCTCTCGGGAGATATTGCGCATGCGCGCGCACCGTGTTAGGCGTGCAGTACCGTCTGAGGCAAACTTCATAATATAGCTTGCTGAGAGGGAGAGGGGATGGGAGGCCGTGGAAAGGCTGCAGGGAAGATAGCTGGGAGCGGTAGAAGAAGGAGGCTGAGCGATGGACAGGGAAAGCAAGGGGTAGGACGCGAGGGCATAAAGTAGGTGTTTTGTACCTTACATGCTAGGGCGCTCTACTAATTATAAACACAGGTCTACTGATAATAATTTATTAGAGAAATCTATGCTGTGCTACCCCTTAACCATATTAAATGCATATTCATTACAAAATATAACTCCCCTGGTGAGATATTGCGCATGTGCTAACACACTAACGTAGCCAGATTGTGTACTGACTGGTATATGCAGCGGGCACCTTACGTGCAATGTCTTCTTCCTATTTCTAAAATCATGTCAACTGATGGAATGTTATCATATAAATCTATGCTAGGATGATTCCTCTTCATTTTAAATGCATAATATTTGCAAAATGTTTTTCTTCTCGTGAGAGTTATTCTTGTCATTCTTACTTCTCTTTATTCTTGTTGTTTGCGCACAGCGACGTGGTTGCGGTATACTTGTCTGTTGCAGAAGAGCATTCGAACGGCATTTACAGGAAATTATTGGCAATAATAGAATATTAGGCGAAAAAGTGTAGAGAAGCATTAAGACCTTAGTAGTGAATACATTTCGTGTTCATTTACCATCATTTTACTATTGAATCGTTCCAAGTGCCTGTGGCTACTGCGGCCTGGCAGGACATATCTGACGTCACGCCCGAGTATTTGCCCACAGCATTAATTTTGTTATCGGAGCGCGGCAATATCACATATGTTAGCCCATGTAGCAAGATTACTGCGTGATGATTGTGACAGCTAATTTGGAATACTCGAAGAATATATATATATATATATATATCAGTGATATATTCAAGAGTGACTGGGTTATTTTAACATTAAAAGCTCGACACAAATCCTTTAAAGTGTTATATATTCAAGAGTGACTGGGTTATTTTAACATTAAAAGCTCGACACAAATCCTTTAAAGTGTTATCTCAAAACATTCACCTAATCAAATTTATATGTTAGCCCATGTAGCAAGATTACTGCGTGATGATTGTGACAGCTAATTTGGAATACTCGAAGAATATATATATATATATATATATCAGTGATATATTCAAGAGTGACTGGGTTATTTTAACATTAAAAGCTCGACACAAATCCTTTAAAGTGTTATCTCAAAACATTCACCTAATCAAATTTATATGTAAGCTATATCAGCGTGAAGACTAAAACTATTTTCACTTAAAATTATAGATTAATATCATCTAAAAGATTTACGACGATATTACAGATATTTGCTAATGATAGAATATGCATACAGACGTGAGCGTGTCTTACACCGAGTCCCATTTGCAACGAGACATAAACTATAATAATATCCGCAATAAAGTACTTTCAGTAAAACATCCGCGAAGCAAATGGACTTTTATGCGACGAGGCCTAAAAATGGCATAATTGAGAATCGTGACTCGTTCGCAGATTATTTCTGCTTGCGTTTAATTCAGGAGAATATATACTGATGTCACATCTAACGCAGAATTTTACTGACATGTATTATCGCAATAATTTGCCTTGAAGGTTCATCACATCGCGTACTCTCCTTATCGGATCTTTGTCGTGGGTAGGCGACATATCCATTTTCCTCTTATCTGTTCTGGGTTGAATCATGGTGTACAGGGGAACGTATAATCCAAAAAGATGCAAGTGTAACTGCCATCTGCACAGCAGGAGCATCACGCTACATTATTTTTTCAAGTTGTTTTTACTGTGATTAGCTCAGCTAGCGTGCCAGTACTATATTGCCGGTAGGTGGCGACACCGGTGCACGCGTAGCCATCCATGAACGTCTTGTAATTTTGAGTACGTCCGTTGTTGCGTGTAGTAGACGCTGCTTTATATTCAGACAAAAACAAGCATGCGTAGCGTCATGTAGTGTCATCAGACTGCAGGAATCGCCATATTTTAACCCCCATCTCTACTCCCTCGCGCCCCTCTCCCTCTCTCTCTCTCTCTCTCTCTCTCTCTCTCTCTCTCTCTCTCTTTCTCCCTCTTTTATTTTCACTCTCCCCTCTCTCTCTCTCGCTCTCTATCTGATTTATTTCTCTCTCTCTCTCGCTCTCTATCTGTTACATTTCTCTCTCATTCCCTTTTCGCGCTCATGCACCATACATCGCATTTCTATTTCGTATCTGCTCGGGCACGTGTCACGACTCATTCTCCAATAGAATGCTGAATTCATTCTCAGAATTATTCTCAGAGTATGGCTTTTATTGACATTTATTTACACAAAAATGTAAACGACACGTATTCATGCGCACAATAAACTATATCGGAGCAGTTCACATAAACACATATTCCATCTTCACGGCGTACGCGCGACGACGTTGCGTGCCCCGTCGTGATGCTTCCTCAATAATTAGCCTCATTAATTTCTTAAATGAACTTGCTGCTATGTCACGTCGTTCGTAGTACTGATACTAGATCAATTAAAAATTCCGTACATATCCAGAAAAGTTCAACTGCTTATATATATATATATATACTTGCCCGGACAGCTCGTACACATTATTCAGAAATATCGATTAACACCTCTCGATTGTGCGGATAGGTTCGATAAGTGTATTAAACAGCATTGTTCAAATGATTCACTAGTTTAGCAGTGTTTAGGCGTCTGTGTTTTTTTAAACTTTAGTCATGGCCAAAACACAATCGAACAGGCATTATAATTAATTTAAATAATAAATAAATAATTAATTATTTAATTTAGATAATTTATTTTAAAGATCTTATTTCTTATCTTGGAAGTCACCGAGCCTGACCTCCTAGTCGCCTGTAATTGGAATGTCTTATGCGTTCGTGGATTTTGAAGGTCAAATGTACGAATGTTGTGCATTATGTGTTCGCACAGACCTTCGTCCGTACGCTAAAATGTGTTGTCAATTTATAAATAAATGTTGAGAATATATTTAAGAAACATCTCGCGATATATAACGTAAAACTAACAATTCATAGACATCATAATAAAAACTATTATTCCGGTAACCATGCAATATACATGTTTTATATCCACGTGTTTTTCTATAATAGGATACAAAGTGACTAGCATGTTCGCTAAAACATTGTTACACGCGCCATGATTTAGTTTTCATAATTAATAGGTAATCAGTGTTAGTGAGCATCCACAGACCAAAAATAAATATAATCCGAACACCTTTCTAGGAGAAATGATAGGGTTTCGTAATGCTCAATTTACGAAGCTTCACTGAGGCCTAGAACTCTCATCCGCGAGTTAATGTGTAGAGGCGTCTCTGTACGAATAAGTAATTGATGTTGTGATGTGTTAGAAAACGTCAGAACTCTTGCCGTCTGAAACGTCGCTCTGCCGTTTGAAACTTGCCTCTCCAAAAAATCTTCGAATGTCAATATATATATGTAGTTTTCCCGGCCGTCCTAGGTGAGCAAAGATGCTAGAAAGGCATTGAGGCTGTGAACGCTGCTAACGACCAGGTATTCAAGTGAAATCCTGGAGTTCAGTTGATGGTTATATAGCACGCCCGGAATTCGAACAGCACACGCATTTAACATAAGGGGTCCCTCTAAGGAAACCACTTGCATGGCGTTGGGGGATTTCTAGCTGCTTGCGAGAGTAATTGGGTTCGTCTCCCTTTAGCAGTGTGATGTAATAAAAAAAATCCTGAAGTCGCATGTGTATTTTGTGCTATACACAACTCTGCCCAGTCCACTGCCGGAACCACACTCTCGTCCTGGCTGTCCTTAGAGACCCTAGAAAATAGTAAAAAGAAACATTGTAGTGATACCGATTCGGGAAGATTATTACAATATCGATTAAAAAATCGATGCAGCTATAAATCGTTTGCGATTAACTGCGACCGCTCGCAAGCGGCTGTAATACGATTAAGTAATCAAGCATGCAAATTAATTAGGATGCTCGGGAGAGACCTCGCATCAAATTTCAGTGTGAATAGTAATGTTGCCGCGGCGTACCAACGTGGGGTAGAGGAACGTGTCGACCATGTCGGCGCCGAATTCATTCTCGGCAACGCATTTGTATTCTCCCATATCTTCTTCCCATGTAATGCCAGAGACCCGCAGGTCGCCATTCTCCAGTGTCTACAAACGAAAGCAGTAAGAGGAACGCATACCCCATGTGCATTCTCTCCTCGTTTGGTTACTTTGATCTGATATTTTGAGATGGCGACGATATATTATTACATATCAGAGCTATTCTAGTCAACGCGTAAGTGTCGAGAAGTAGGGAGAACGAAGGGAAATCCCTGATGCCGTGACAGAGTTCAATAAGCTGAAAGGTACAGCCTCACTCAGATGCAGATAGCAGCTGATAGAAGCCGACAGCGCCAGTGACATTACATAGTCTTCACTTTCTCAGATGTATGATTAACTTCTAGCACATATTGTGGAACAGACAGAATCACCAATCAGACCAAAATACTAGCGAGACCCATATATATATATAACAAATAATATCTATTAACAGGTATTACATATAGAAGGCAAAACCCTACTAATATACACTATTATCTCTTTATATATATATATATATATATATATATATATATATATATATATATTAACTAATCATACCTAATAATAGGTATTACATATAGCAGGCAAAAACCTACTAATATTCCACTATTAGCTCTCTTTAGATATAAAGTATAACGCGATGGTAATTTCGTATCAGTAACTATCCGTTCACCTGATATTTGTCATTGGTTGTCCAGAATCTGGTCGCTTGACCTATCCAAATGACCATGGGGTGCCGGGTAGCCGCTCGTCCGGCAAAACAAAGCGCACGGTGTTGCCCTCCTCCACCTCTAATCGTTACCGTCCACATGTAGATTTTAGGGCGGCATATCCCTGAATGACGCACGAGGCAGACGGCGAATCGATAGAAGTGACGTAATCATCAATCATGGCGACGTACGCTCTCTTCTCATGCGATACATTTACGCAGGAGGAGCCGACTAATTTTAGTTAGTAATTATGAAGAAGAAAAGGAATGAACATGATGTGATGACGCCATACGAAACCGAGATACCTTGGTTGATTTTTACTCACGTTGAGGTTCAAACGTAGAAATCAACACAAGTGATCTCTATTATCAACCAACGAATGAACTGATTCAAGGCCATACCGAACTGGTTAGAAGCCGCGTAATTAAACATTACGGTGTTTCTGGTAACAGTCTCGCGAGCCGATGTTTAAGACTATATGTTAAGACTAATTTTCCTTCTGACAAAGAGGCCGCCTACATAAAGGTGCGCCGAAACTCGCGTGCGTTTGGCCGTGCGTGAGCGTTTGACACCTCGTCAAGTAGCAAGCCATTAACGACAGCGACAGCTGTGCGCGTAGTCTTTCTAGAGATGGAAAGCGACCACAAGCTGTATGGGAGGGATATGTGTCAAAATTCAAAACGTTTAATTGATCGATTGATTGTTTAATTGACAAGTCGTTTAATCATTCAAACGTTCAATTGATCGATTGATTTGTTCAATTGAACAATCGTTTAAATCATTCAACGGTCCATTGATCGATCTGTTGTTCAATTGAACAGTCCTTTAATCATTCAATACTTCAATTAATCGAATAAACTGTGAAAATTGAACGTTTCAATCCCTCCAATACAGCGTGCGGCCTCGTTAAGAAGTGCTCGACGAAAATCGTTAGCAGCAATCAGCTCATTCGCCAGATAATTAACCTTAAATCGACTCTTCTCTAACCTATAAATGCGATGATTGAATGCATAATAAATATAGCGATTATTAAGCCTGAATGATTTACGTTGAAATCGACTTTCTGAAACACATATAAATGCGATCGTAAATTTATTAGGAATGGCGATTATAAGCTCGAATGATTTACGTTGAAATAGGATCTTCTCTGGCGCGCCTTAAATGCATAATGATATGCAGCCAACGAACTCCACTCACCGTACTTGCGTTTTTGTGCCGGACAACGCGCTTCGATATTAACTTTGTATGAATCTGGAAACATCAGTAGAAGCGGACATTTATTTATACTCTAGGCCTAAATTCCTATTTGCCCGGAAGTCAGTCGCCACAGTCGGCGTTTGGCGATGGCAATATGGCACTGTTATATGCCGTCACTGCGTTGTGTGGGCGGAGCGGGAGTTCGGTCTAATTAAATCAGTTGTGCGTCTCTCTATCCACGGGCATACAACCGATCTGTTTCCATGAAAAATAGTTTGACGGAATAGTTGACAAAAGCATACATGGCAATATCATAATTTTACATAACGTTCTAACTTCTGCGTATAACGCTAGTCACATATGGTTTATGATAGCACAACGGATTGTTGGCCCATGATAATTATCGTACGTAGTTAAACAGAATTCAAAATCCAGACGCGCTCACGAGGACAATAAAAGTGAGTATTAAAACATGTCGACATTGCTAAAGTCATCGTTCTCCGTGCATGTTTTATTAATATGCAGCCGGAACGCATTAATAAACCTGAAATGCGCGTAATCAACACTAGTAATTTTTTCATCTCAAGCGGCTGCACGGTTGTCATGCTGTTTATGTTGCCCACGACGGGCGCCTTTGATTAAATTTCACGGCATCATGCAAAACGTATAGGTGATTCTGAACATGCTTCCGGTCAGAGTAGGATGCATTCAAGATGCGATATCTCCAGGTTGCGGTTAGAATTCAATTAAGCGGCATAACAGGCATATATATCATATGTATATATTATATAATATATATATATATATATATATATATATATATTATATATATATATATATAATATATATATCATACATACTACTACAGTATATATGTATATATGTATGTATATATATAATCAAGAGTAGATAATAACAATAATGTTATTATCTACTCTTGATATAATATAAATATATGGACTTCCGCTTTTAACGGCATTGCATGCTATCGTTCGAGGCAATACACATCAAATATATATATATTAAGCGTTATATGAGTTAGTGGGGTCATCTCGGGCACCGTTTCATTGCCAGATACTGCAAATACGGGCCTTAGAAACGGGAAATAAAATAAAATTGGTTTCGGCGGGACAGAACGCGACCCCGTGCAGCAATCGTTACTCCTTTATTTTCTGCCCCAACACCGTAACGCGCGCAGATCTAGTGACGTGAAACGGACGACAGCGTCAACGTCGTCGTCCTCGCACGGACGCCGCGCGCATTTCGTTCGAAATCAATGCGGATCCGATTGACGTTTCGGATCCGATCCGACGAGTTTTCGTGTATCACACCTAGCATGCGCAGTGGATAGCGTACGTCGTGCCGTGGTAGATTCGACAACCAAACAAAGCAAACGTCGCGCAAAGAAAAGACATTAGCGGGTAAATTACTGCTCTGAAATAATTATCACCGAAATGTTCTACACGAAGCAAGTGTAGCCGACAAAATTAATAGGCTAAAGTCCCCGACAAATGGAAAGGGAGTAAGGCCCCCGACAGGGAGAAGGCGTTATGCGCAATCGCGTGGCAGCTTCTTCACCCGCACTTGCTCGCCGTTAATGTAACCAGTCGACCTGTCACGACTGATGCGGCTTACGGAGCACAGATTGCTGAATTACCAGCACGCTAATGCGCAATAATTGCGTTTTCAGCTGGTCGTGACAGTATAAGTCATAGAACCAAAAGCTGCTGCTGCCACCGTCGTCGCCACAAGCACTTGCAACGTCTCAATAAAAAAATAACGGTAAATAAACACGAAATGTATTTACTACCAAAGGCTTAATGTTTCTCTACTCTCCTTCGCCTATATTATTGCCGATAACTTTTTAACACCTTTTATTACGACGTTCCAAGTGCCTGTGGTCGTCGTTATTCACGTCAACCTCCATCCACCCACACTCCCCCAGCTGTTGTTTTTAAGCGACGTTGGCGTAGACGGAGAGTAAAGCTGCCTTCCTGCCTGTTTTACCGCGCCGTGACTGTAAGGGTATCACGCCTGCGCAATGGCGGCTGCGGCGACGTCTCATTAACTTAACCACATATATATATATATATATATATATTTAATCATTCAAACGTTCAATTGATCGATTGGTTGTTCAATTGAACAGTCCTTTAATCATTCAATACTTCAATTAATCGATAAACTGTGAAATTGAACGTTTGAATCCCCTCCAATACAGCTACGCCTCGTATAATAAAAACCGTGAGTTTGCGAGCGGAGGTAGTAGAATTACATGCGATAAAACACAGACGAGGATCGCCTTTACAATGACGAAATCGTTAGCAGCAATCGCTCATTCGCCCAAATAATTAACCTTAAAATCGACTCTTCTCTAACCTATAAATGCGATGATGAATGCATAATAAATATAGCGATTATTAGCCTGAATGATTTACGTTAAAATCGACTCTTCTGAAACATATAAATGCGATCGTAAATTTATTAGGAATGGCGATTATAAGCTCGAATGATTTACGTTGAAATAGGATCTTCTCTGCGGCCTATAAATGCATAATGTATGCAGCCAACGAACTGCCACTCACCGTACTTGCGTTTTTGTGCCGGACAACCGCTCGATATAACTTTGTTAGAATCTGAAACATCAGTAGAAGCGGACATTTATTTATACTCAGTAGGCCTAAATTCTATTTGCCCGGAAGTCAGTCGCCACAGTCGGCGTTTGGCGATGGCAATGTGCACTGTTATATGCGTCACTGCGTTGTGTGGGCGGGCAGGGGAGTTCGGTCTAATTAAATCACAGTTTGTCGTCTCTCTATCCACGGGCATACAACCGATCTGTTTCCATGAAAATATAGTTTGACGGAATAGTTGACAAAAGCATACATGGCAATATCATAATTTTACATAACGTTCTAACTTCTGCGGTATAACGCTAGTCACATAGGTTTAGATAGCACAACGGATTGTTGCCCATGATAATTATCTACGTAGTTAAACAGAATTCAAAATCCAGACGCGCCTCACGAGGACAATAAAATAAAATTGCAGCATTAAAAACATGTCGACATTCGCTAAAGTCATCGTTCTCCGTGCATGTTTTATTAATATGCAGCTGGAACGCATAATAACCTGAAATGCGCGTAATCACACTAGTAACTTTTTTCATCTCAAGCGGCTGCACGGTTGTCATGCTGTTTATGTTGCCCACGCGTTTGATTAAATTTCACGGCATCATGCAAAACGTATAGGTGATTCTGAACATGCTCCGGTCAGAGTAGGATGCATTCAAGATGCGATATCTCAGGTCTGCGGTTAGAATTTCAATTAAGCGGCATAACAGGCATATACACATATGTATATACTATATATATATATATATA